TTCAGGCGTGGAGAAGGATGATGGAGCCCCGAGGTGCGGCCCGGAGGGCATCGAGCATGCCGGTGATGTCGAGGCCCCTGGTGGCCGGAGAGAAGTAGGGGTAGGTGGCAGTGCGGAGGTGGACGTTGGAGAAGATCTGTGTGTGGTTGGCCCAGGTGGGGGAGGAGAGGTAGATTGTTGGTTTCGGCTGGGAGGGGTGGAATTTGGACAGGAAGAGGCCGCCGAGATGGACGGCACCGGTGCCGGAGATTGTTTGGAGGGAGATGACCTGGAATCAGTTAGATTTTCTGTTTTTAAAAAAGGACTTCACTCTCCTCCTTTCAGACGCAATGCGTTTGCTGCATGGATGCACATGTACAGACAGGACTTACTCGATTTTCCTTGATGGCGGGTGAATCTGCGCCGAGGATCAGCCTTTGAGCAGCGCTGGTGAACTCAGGCAGACCAGCAATGGGGAGATATTCATGGTTTAGATTCGGATCGCTGCGCAGGAGCTCATCGGCCTGTTTTATACGTAGCAGTCAGTCAGTCAGCCAGTATTTTATATATCCATCTACTTTATCGAAGCCCATCCACAGATACCCCGCATGCAGTTTGATAGCAAAAAAAGCAGTAAATGTATGTGCTAGTATATAAGTCTACGCAAGGGACCTTCAATCAACCACGCACCTTCTTCACGACAGGCAAGACCCACGGCTTCGCGTTGTTGTCTCTGTACGCACCAATGCCCAGGTCGACCTTCTTATCGGACGTGTCCTGCTTGTAGGCGCGCATCAGGCCGAAGAGCGGGTCCTCGGGGGCCTGGGGCACCACTGCAGCGGTGAATACTGAGGGGTTGGCGGGGGCAGCCATGGCGATGTGGCGGGAGATGTTGGACAGACGAGAGCGGGCAGCGAGATGTGAATGATGTGGGACGGACGCTGGAGCGGCGGAGGGAGATGGTGGAGAGGAGGAAGAGGTTGATCGTTGAGGTTGATGTCGCGGGTGAAACGAGGAGGAGGAGGAAGAGCGGGCGGCGAAGTCATGTGGGGGAGACATTGATTGGGCCGATATATGCGGGGAGACGGCGAGACGGAGAGCAGCCACTTGCAGCTGGGGGAACAGAAGCAGGAGAGGGAGGGGAAGAAGAGAAGAAAGCAGAGGAAGCAGATGATGATGATGAGGTTTAATTATAAAGAAAAAGCCCATCCGAGTTGCATGGCGTATACTTATTTATTAGCAGGCGTAGTTGGCATTCAACCGAGGCATCGATTCAGGCATTCATTCTATCACATTTCACAACTGTCAATAGCAGATCAATCGACGAAGTTGGAGGGTGTTATATATATATATATATAAGAAGCTGATGGAGGAGTTGGCCTACAGACACCTGTCTACTTTTCTATATCTATCTATCCGCAACAACGGCGGAGCAGGAGACTACTTCCTGAGAGCGTTGGCCCCATAGCGGTGCCCACCAATATCTATGATGGGTATATGCATTGTAAAGGAGACACACGAATAGAGAGAGAGGGAGAGAGCGAGACAAAAGGAATTACTCTTCCGTCCAATGTACTGTACGTAGCATATTCTATGTCCACTTCAACTACAATTGAATGAATAAAAAAAAACCCCCCGTAAATACATACTTTATTATATATGTATATATATGTATGTGAATAATCATGAACCAGTCAGTCTAGTGAGAAGAGGGGAAAAAAATATAGCAAGAAATGCACGAAGATAACAAGCCCGCCCCGCCGAAATACGAAAGAAAGTATAACTATATATACAGACAAAACAAAACACCCGCACCAAACCAAACCAAGGGGTTATTAATACCCGGAACAATAGTAAACATCACATAAAACAAAATCAGATATTATCATTGATGATGAAGTAGAATTCACCCGCCCGCCCGGTCCCCATTCCATGACGTGCGTGCATATGCAAAATCCCAATCATCCAGTCATATATCCCATTTGATTCCAATTTTTACACATTTATTCATTCAGCTGTTCATCGCATATGCTTCGCAAGGTATCTCTATTATAAACAAAAAGGAAGGAGTGAATATGATAAAGCGGCAAGAAGGAGAGGTGTTAATATCATGCAAAAGAAGGAGAGGGACGGAGGAATAGTGAGGGCATGAATCGCCCGGCGCTATCTCGGTGATTTGTCGCAGAGCTCTGGAGGCGCTGGGTTTATTGTTGTTTGTTGAGGAGGGGTTGTGCTGCGGGTGGTAGTCGTCGTCGTCGTAGTAGTAGCAGTGGTAAGGATTGCTGTCTCTGCAGCAGGCTCTGTGTGGCCGTCTGCGTGGGCGGGGGAGTTCGGACTGGCACTGGCACCGGCACCAGCACCGGAATTCGTCCGTGTCGCACTGCCATTGCCATGTCCATGTCCATCACCATCATCTTCTCCATCATCTTCGTCATCCTCATCATCCCCATGCCGCCTCGTCCGCACCCGGAACCGCTCCCTCAACCACGCTGATAGCCGATGCCTCCTCGATGCCTCATCTGGCTGTCCCTGGCTCAGCACCATCGACGACGAGGGCGGCTCAGATACCGGTATCGTGTGGATGTTGCTTCCGCTGCTGCTGCTGTTCGCCTGGTGGGGTTCGCTGCTCCGTTGCATTCTCCGGAGCATATCGAGGCGGCGTGATTGATGGTGGTGAGAGGGGTTGGGTTGCGCTGCTGGTTGGGAAGTGGGAGTGCTTGCTCTGGATGTAGAGGCTGGTGTTGCGGTGTCGTCGGAGTCGATGTCCGGTTCTTGGGTGTTGAGGTTTACGCGGCTGTAGGTTGGTTAGGGAGTTAGCAAAGGGGTGCATGATATGGATATGATTGGCGACGGGATGTAGAGTTTGGGGAGGTTGGAACGCGGCAAGGCTCACCAGAGAGGACAGGTCCCGGAGACATTTATCAACCAAGGGTCAACGCATTCTGGGTGGAATTTGTGCTTGCACGGGAGAAGCCTCACGTCTTGGCCCTTTACAAAATCATCTGTGCAGATGGGGCAGCCCAATGCACCACCATCTGTCGTATGCTCTGGGCTGACAGGGCTTGGCTCAGGGGCCGCCGGGCCAATGACACCCGCTTCCTCTTGCTCCAGTTCCTTATTTATATGTACATAGGATGCCGAAGCAGCCGCGGATATTTGAGCAGTTTGCTGCTGCTGCTGCTGCTGCTGCTGCTCTGATTCCACTGGCTTCTGCTGTGGCTGGGGGTGGTCCAATTGCCGCGTGTCAGGGGTTGTGACACCATCAGCCCTCTCATCATGACTTCTCCGATCATGGTCAGCATCTGCATAGTTGGACGCGAGCTCAAGGTCCTGCTTCGCTGCTGGAGATTTATCGTCCTCCGGGTCACCAAACTTGACAATGGGTAGCGTCTCGAGCATGGCTCGTGCAATGCCTTTGGCGCGGCTCTGGCGGGGTCGACCAGCGGTGTTTCGAGGTCCATAACGATCAGGGTTAAGATGGGCTCTGATGGCTCCGGTGACGATGACGATGAGGAACAGCGAAGTGATGATACCAGTGATGCTGTACAGGATTATCATGGCTACTAAAGAGGTTGGTTAAGATTCAGATGTAACACCAAGTCTTCTTCTTGTGAGCACAACTCACCATTATTTCGCTGGTTGCCTTCATCCGTAGGCGTGAATTGGCGTACGTCCATGTCTGGGGCTATGGTTGCATCCTCTAGGGACTGTTGCCCCGAGCGTAGGCTGGCTATTACCTCGCGGACAGCGAGGGGATTAGTGGTGGTGAAAATAGGATGGTATCGGGGTCGTTCCCCGTCTTTTGTAGAGTAGTTGCAGTGGGAAAACTCAGTGGTGTAGAGGACGATGGCCCTGGGGCGGCCGGTGATAGCTGATTGTAGGATGCTATCCGGTTTGGCACCGCCAGAATAGGAAGATGCATCACAGCTAATTAAAGCTATGTCGGTCCCATTCAATGCGGTGGCGTTGTTGGAATCTATGATCACTAATGTTCCCGTGGTGTTGAAATCCTGTAATGGTCAGCCAGCGTGATCCAAAGGCCCAATGCCAGTCCAGTCAGTGCGGAAGAGTGGTGGTGGCGGGTGGCGGGGCAGAAACGCCAATAACTCTATTTCCTGGCAGTGACATGTTGGGGTAGGAGGGGGGGGGGGGGGGGGGAGTTGAAAGAGACATATAGGTAAACTTGTCCTACCAAATCAGTCAAAGATCTGGTTAATGGCGCCAGCTGGATCGGGTCGAGCGATGTGAGCCCGGTGTGTAGATGATAATTGCTGTTAGGTGCAAGCTTTTGGAGATCTTGGGAGTCATTGGATGGCTGGGATGTCTGCGCCTGCACCGGGGCAGAGAGGAGGGCGAATGCACATATCGACAGCAGTGCAAGCATCACCGTCTCGGCGATGGAGGACGAGAGGATACGCATGGTGGCTGTGTCTATTCCTTACTCTCTTTTTTGCTTCCTGCTCGTTTTCAAAAGCATTCATTGCTCAAGAAGAGTACAGTACATATTATTGCGAGAGTAAATATTCTCTATATAGCCAGATACGTAGTATAATTAGCCTCCGGCTGGCCGGTTAGATATCTGGATATCGTGAGAACCAGAGCATACGCTGTAGATACTATACTGGGCAGATTAGTGACATATAAGTTACAGGGAAGCGAATGACGAGGATAACATCGAATGGACCAACCGGTGCACAAGTCAAAGGTACGACGACGCCCAAGCCCATAGTTGTTGATTCAAGCAAAGAAAACGAAAGCAGTTGGCGGCTGCAACAGTAACAACGATAAAGACCGATTCCAAATATTCTGCTGAGGGCAGTGAAATAGAGTTAACGGGTGGACTCCGAAGGTCGAAGCTTCACCGTCACTCAGCCTGATCAGTCAACAGCTCGGCAGAGCGGCATGGCGAAGCCAGAGCACAATCGCCTGGCTAGCTAGAAGAGGATATAGAGCATTGAAGAAGAGCAAGAAGAGTAAGAAGAGAAGGGAAAACAGGAGGAGGAGGAGGAGGAATCGCAGGTTTTGCTGTGGGGTTGAGGCGGATCGGCCGGCGCAGGTGGTGATGTAATGTATGTAATGTATGTAATGTACGGTAAGCCTCGGGCCAGCCGGGTGCGTAATTCCCCCTTCCAGCGGTAACGGCAGCGTATGCGATTTCCCCCGGGTTGGGCTGCTTTCACTCGTTGGTCGTTGCTCTGCGTTATTCCCCAAGCCAAATCGACGATGAATCGACGACGATGGGGATGGTGATAGGATGAGCAGCCTGTGTGGACTGCGGACTGCTCCCCGCTCAGCCACAGAGATCTGAACGATTAGTGATACGATTAGCGTCGTTGTCGATTGGATCAAGGTTAGGCAAAGCGAGCAGATTTGGAATTGTTGACCGATTGGGGGCTTATGATTGTTGAACTCCGTGCTCCGCTCCATCAGAGTTCAACTACTACTCGTAGTAATCGGATCGTATCTATCGGGCATGCTTTCTATTTAGAGCGGAAACCCCGCTGATGAAATGAATGGTTTTCTTGCAGCACTCCTACAATGATCTACATACTGAGCCACCCAGGCTAGGCCAGCTAGCTATGCAAAGGAAACCATGTGGTCCACGGGCCATGAGTATTTACTTATATACCGGATATGCCGGCAGCAACAAGATGTCGGATGCATCGTGACCGCGATATGGGTTTCGCCTTCAGTGGTCGCCTCAAGTTCGCTCTAGCTGCCTCGTTGGGCGTGGAGTTCGTTTCTCCCCTATGTACTGTATGTATGTACATGTACATGTACATTTACATCTGGGACTGCTGCACCAAGGTTAAACTGGTAGATAACATCTCACGCGGCACACGGCGTCTGTTTCTATCCTTTGCCTTTCAATTCTACGGCCCAGGAACCTTTTAACGGCTGGGAAAGCAAACCGACCCTGATCCTGATCCCGATCCCGATCCCTTGGTATGAACATAAACCCGCCGCCGCACACAGTGGCGGAATGGCATGAAACACGGGCTACCGTGTTATGATGTCTTTCCCATCAACTGCTATCAAACGGTGCCGTCGCGTGCTGGCCCAGGTCGAGGTAAAGAAAAGTTGTCTAAGTTGAGAAAGTTGTAAGTCAAGTTCTCTATCCCATCCGATCCGATCCGATCCAGTCCCATCAAACTCAAATGACTTGGAAGTGTGCCCTATACTTCTCTTGCAGGGGATGATGCCCGGCCATGGCGGGGGAGATACTGATGAAATATGTGCTGTGCATGTAGCGGCCACACGTAGCTCATTTCTTCCTGCCACTTGTATCTGGACAGAGTGAGAGGAATGTCACTGGTCTTTAGCAGTTCCAATCTTGATGGGATGCTTTACCATCCACGGCGACTAGGTGCCTTTGCGGCCATTGTTTTCAGCGGGAGAGAAAGAGAAGACAAAAGGGATGAATGATGGTATCAAATGCCCTGAATCCACCACCATCACCGTGATTCCCCATGGCGGATACTGATACTTACCGTGCCTCAACACACAATGGCAAGATCAAAATTAAAAAGATGAATTCAAGTCGTCTGTTGACATTTTGTCTGTCGCTTTCCTGAGCGAGCAAGCTGCCAGTGGCCAATCAGAGCCCGTGTTACTGGTCCAGAACGCCAAACAGTCTCTGTGTGTGCCAGTTGAAGATGTGGGTTTTTCGGCTTTTTTCGGTGGCTTTTTTTTTTGGTGATTTTTTTTTCCCTTCTCTTCCCCCATTGCATGAGAACTCGATTTGGCTCCACCCGCAATCCTGCTTTCATCCTGCGTGGTCCGCGTGTGGAGATGCAGTTCTTCCAAATGGCGCAGGGGAAGACGGTAACACGCTCATCCATGACACGACGGAGGTTTGAGGAGCCATGGCGTGGCTACTGGTATCGATGCCTCATTGTCTCCGATGATTGCGTATCCGCTGTGTTCCACCCGCCAGCGCATGCTTCTTCGTCTGCGGTCTCCTATGACAGATCTCAAATGAGGTCAACTCGCTTGCTCGAAAAGTGGCCAGCCTGAGCCTTTACCCCCACCACCCTCAGCCCTCGGCGCCGCCTTTAACCAGCTCCCGTTAAGCCTGCACCCCTGGAACGCCGCAAACCTTAACCGGCCAAGCCTGGAGCTTAATCAACTCGTGCTCGCCATGTTTCGATGCGCCGGTCACGCTCCAGAACCAGATCGACCAGTGGGCCGTGGACCGTGGACCCGTCGTCGTCGTCGTTGTATTTTTATGGTTATTTATAATTTTATCCTTTTTTGCTTCCATTTCCTTTTCGCCCGTGTGATCTCCTGGCGATGAATCACGTCTTGTTGAATCTTTCCTCCTTCCTCCTTCCTTCTTTTCTCCTTTGTCTGCGACTCTGACACTCGTTAGATCTATCTATATCCTTTTTGTATTTGTGTCATTGTTACTCTGATCTCGGTCTGTTCTAAAATCGCCGCTCTGCACCAGCTTTGGCTACAGGAGGGCCCCGCTTCAACTATCGTTAATAGAGCACCGCTCCTTGGTTATTTCTTCTGGATCGCCAATTACCGCCTACAACTATCTGGGTTTTCTACTCCCTTGGTCTGCTCTCAGTCAAACCTCGGGCCCAATCCGCAGATCACGTCGCATCGTGTTGCGCACTCGCATACTCGCTCGCATACTTAGCGTGCGCGCCGTCTTAGATTCCCACCGATCAACCGTTAAGTCAGCACTTTTTCCCCCTTGCAATTCTCCCCCTGCCTTGGCAGGCTGGCATCCATGAAGGATCGGCTGGGTGTTGGACGTAAACGTTATTCCCGCAACAGGTTTCCCAAACGAGATGATGCCGCCAGCAATGACGACAACACCATTCCCCTGACTAGCGTCTCTAGTACAGGCTATGCTGGGATTAGAACGGTCCAATCCAACAATGGCTCTTCTTCATCCTATGTCCCGCCCACCGACCGTCCTGCCAACGACGACAAAGACAACGACAACGACAACGACAACGAGGACGAGAACGAGAAGGAAGGGATGTTCCGTCACAGACCGGGCGGGCGTAGGATGCTCTTGTCGGATGGGAAGCAGATGGATGCCTCCGAGGATGGCACCCTCACCCGCATGGGAGAGCTGTACAATAAAATCCTGAACTACTCGGTCATCACGCGGTACTTTATCTATGTTTTGCCTCTGGCGTTGCTCATTGCCATACCGATCATTGTCGGGGCTACCATCGCCCAGAATGCAGCCATCGGCGGGGTGCGCATTGTATGGTTCTTCACCTGGGTGGAAGTTGTCTGGTTGAGCTTGTGGGGATCGAAGATCATTGCACACTACGTCCCCTATGTGTTTCAGTTCCTGGTTGGCATTGTAAGTTCGGGGACGAGAAAGTATGCCCTCCTCTTGCGAGCGTTGGAGATTCCGTTTTCTCTCATCGGCTGGTCTGTGACCTCCCTTGCTACTTTTATTCCGGTACGTCTTCCAAATTGAGCCAATCCCTTTTAATCTATCATATCAATCCCCTGGGAGAAACAATATTGGTATGTCAGATGTATGTATATACTTAAACTGTAACAGTTGATGACGCGAAACCCCACCAATCAAGCCTCCGGCGACACACAAATCAAGTACTGGCAGAATGTAGTCAGGAATATCCTGTTTGCCGCGTTTGTCTCGACCTTGATTTTGGCTGCGGAGAAGATCCTCATTCAATTGATATCTATCGGCTACCACCGGCGACAGTTCGATACCAGGATCAAAGAGTCCAAGCGGAACATCGCCCTCCTGACGATGCTCTACAAGGCGTCACGGAACCTTTTTCCTGCTTATTGTGCGGAGTTTGAAGACGAGGACTATGCAATCCAAGATTCCGTAGTTGGCGTCATGAAGCTTCCCCGTGGCCACAAGCGGCGTGGATCCACTACTCCGATGCGTCTGATTCAGGGCGTGAGCCGAGTCGGGGACAAGATTACAGCTGCGTTCGGCAATGTTGCCCAGGAGATCACGGGGAAGCAGGTCTTCAATCCCACGTCGGCCCATTCGGTCGTGACCCTGGCGCTGGAAAAGCGCAAGGCGACAGAAGCACTTGCACGACGTATGTGGATGTCCTTCGTTCTCCAGGGGCGAGAGAGCCTTTACCTAGAGGATATTATCGAGGTTCTTGGTGCCGACCGTGAAGAAGATGCGAAAGAATGCTTCGCCATGCTGGATCACGATGGCAATGGTGATGTCAGCCTGGAAGAGATGATCCTTACGCTGACGGAGATCCGTAGAGTGAAGAAATCCATCAACAACAGCTTGCACGACGTTGACCAGGCAATTAATGTCCTCGACAGCCTTTTGTGTGTGATTGTTCTCATCATGGTGGTCCTGGTTTTCAGTATGTCGCACGCACACGCAATCCCTGTACTTGATTTAAAATATATATATAGCTAACAGTTGGCAATAGTTGCGTTTCTCAACACTGGATTCGGAACCACGCTCGCGGCCGGCGCAACTGCGCTTCTCTCTCTATCCTTCGTCTTTGCCACAACCGCCCAGGAGGTCCTGGGTAGCACGATTTTCCTCTTCGTAAAGCACGCGATGGACGTAGGAGACCGAGTCGATATTGGAGATCGTCAGCTAGTTGTGGAACGGATCTCTCTCCTCTACACCGTTTTCAGGGGCGCTCGAGATTACAAGACGTTCCAAGTACCAAACATTATTTTGAACACCCAGTGGATTGAGAACATCACTCGCTCAAAGGCCATGCGCGAGCAGATCACGCTCACGGTGGATTTTGGCACCTCCTTCGCAGACATCCAGCTGCTGAAGGCCGAGCTGCAGAAATTCGTCCGTGACAAGGAAAACTCCCGCGACTTCCATCCAGACGTTGACGTTGAGGTCATCGACCTTGGCACCATGAACAAGCTCGAGCTCAGAGTTGAAATCCGCCATAAGTCCAACTGGTCCCACGAGACCATCCGGGCCACCCGCCGGTCGAAGTTCATGTGTGCAGTGGTCCTTGCTGCCCGCAAGATCCCCATCTACGGGCCTGGCGGCGGCGACGCTGCGCTGGGCGACGTTACGAGGCCGTCATACTCCGTCGCGATATCCCACGAGCAGGCGCAGGCGAACAAGGATGAGTGGACCAAGGGGAAAGATGAGGCGCGGATGATTCCAACATCTGAGATGGATGACTACCTCGCACGCACCGGTAAGCTGGACGGGTCTGACGCATTCTCCCCCGCCGCTGCCACCGCAGTGGATGGCGGGTCGCCCAATGGCACGCTCCTTTACCGCGGCGCTTCGACCCGATCCGCGCCTGCGAAGAAGGACACGGAAGCATCCGTCGTCCGCGCCCTGCATTCCCGATCCGCAGCCACGGACCAGCCGCGCATCGACGTATCCAACATCCCCCACGACTACAGCAAGCTCTCTTCACACAACCCCAACGGCACAGGCACCGGCGCAGCCGCAGGCGACAACAGCAGCAATCGAGCCTCCAACCCCCCAGACCCCCTCATCACCCGCGAGCCATCCACAGGCCGACGCACAGGCGCGCACACGACCAGATTCCTCTCGCCCACCACGCCCGTCATCCACGAGAAAGACGGGCCCCCCGGTGCCGTACCCTCGATCCCAAGCCACCTCCTCCCACCCCCCGTCGCCACCACCACAACGACATCCGCACACGAGTACTTCGAGCTCACAGACCGCCATCCAGACCCGGGCGCGGGCCGCGACTCGTATTATCATCAGCAGCATTACCAGCATCACCCGCCTTCCAACACCGGTAATAATAACAACAATCACAACAGCAACAATCCATACATCCCGCGCTCACCGCCGTCGACCTCTTCCAGTTCTACAATCCAATCGCAGATGCCTCGGCCTCCTGCGCCCGCTGCCGGCACTGCTTATCATGGTGCGGCTGGTAATCCGCCTGGGGGATCGAGCTCGGGAAGATAGATGGATGGATGGATGGATGGATTGGAGGGCAGCTGGCTGCCGGGGCCCAAAATTGTGGGTAGTTGCCGCGATGATATTTTGATCATTTTCTTTTTTTTGTCTGATTTTTTTTTTTTTTTTTTATTTTTTTATTTTTTTTTGGACTTTTTTCTTATAATATATATTCGGGAATCTAAAGAGGAAATAAATAAAATAGAAGGGGGGGGAAGGCGGGAAGGGAGAAAAGGGGACATGCATGGTTTTATATTTATTTATTTTGGTTTGTTTTATGGGGATAGACATCTGATGCGTGATTATGATATTATCATAAGCGTTTTGGAAAGCGAAAACTATATAGTTATGTATTTTCTCGGGATATTTTTTTAGTCTTTTATTCATTCTTATTTATTCTTATTTTATTTTATTCTTTAGGGTTGGGAGGAATGGGGGGGGAGGAGATTCGAAACAGGAAACGGAAAAGGAGAAAAAAAAAACTGGCTTAGCTGGCTGGTGGTGCGGAGTCAAGGGTTGCTACGAAGGGGGATATTTGCATGTTTATAATATCGATATGAGATTGTATATATATATATATGGATTGAGATGAGTATTGCGATGTTTTTATGTTGAAGCGGGTCTTGAACATTGATTGGTGATCGATTGGTTTGTAGAACACTATGAAGGAAGGGATTTATATTATATACATGTATTTATATATATGAGTGCGAAATATACATTCATCGATTCCAGATATTCTATTTGAATTATCTCATAATGCAGAACCTATCTATCATACAAGCCCTCGTCGTTTGTTGTAAGAAAAAGAGGGAGTGGTGGGGGGGGAGAGGAAGGAGATGATGAACTAGAGAAAGGGAAAAGGTAACAGGAGCAGATCAGCTGCCCGAACTCCGTCTAGACAAGTCGAGATGGATAGATGAATGATGGTAATAATAATAATAATAATAATACATAGGAAACAGGTGAATGGCATGGGTATCTCAGTTTCGGTATCGGTATCGGGGATAGATATCAGGACACTCCGATTCGCCTAGGGGAATTGACCACTTGGGCAAGTTCAGATCGATCTGGCTTTTTTTTTTTTTTTTTTTTTTTTTCCATGATTCTGGCACAGCGGGAGACGGGTAACAGAAAGGAATGGCTTGCTCACGGGTACAAGTTCGAGTGTGGGGCTAACATTGATAAATGTTTGGATGCGGAGTTGAATAAATTGGAGATGTAATATGTAGCAAAAGAGGAGATATTGTAACTGGCTAGGGACCCTTAAATGTCCGTCCCCTTGGACATGTACACAGCGGCGGAGCGTGGCAGGAAGCAGGATGGATTCCAGGCTTGTTCCATTTGGAGTAGAGAGACGCCATGCAGATTCCTCAATGGGCCGTATCGTCCCATTACCTTTCCCTGTATTCGAACCCCCCTAACAGAAAATGGGCGTTCCACCCACCCAACGTCATATATGTATATCTCACTTGGTTTCCTTCCACGGGTACGACACCGGGTCATCCTTTCGAAGCCAGATCTTCGTTCGACGCTTCGTCGTCACATGCTCCACGAATGCCTCGCGGGTGTACTTGGCTTTAAACTGGCGGATCCAGCGGGGGTCCCAGAGCTCGCTGGCCACGCCTAAATCCTTGCAGCAACGCATCATGGCGTTGGACTTGCAGCCCTCTGTCGCGGTGGGGATGCCGTCGGGGGAGAAATAGTCTTGTTCGCCGCGCGCGACGGAGACGAGGCTTTTGGAGGAAAAAGAAATTTCGTTAGTTTATATGTATTTCATATTGCATGGGATGATTGCTTGATACTGCGTATAGAAAATGAAGCGGAGAAAGGGAGGAAAAGGGATTACGAACCGGCCATGCGCAACGAGCGCATACTCCCTCGTCACGGTCTTGGCTGTGACAATACTCTCGCCGCGCGGCGCAAGTCCCCAACCACCCGGGCCAAACGCTTTATTCAGTATACGTCGATATTTAATCTCGGGAAGATAGACGATGCCATCGGGTTTTATCTCGACGTCGTCTGAATTTATTTCTTGGAGGAGGACTTCGGCCGCTTCCTTTGAGAAGGGCTGGGCGCTGAGACCGTGGAACGAGCGCGTCCAGTCGATGTGATCCTTACTGTTGTCGTCATTGTCGGCGGAGTTTGAGATGTCGAGGTCCGTAGGTTTATCATCTAAACCGGTCTTGCTGAGATTTTGAATAGTGGCTGTTGTTGGAGTGGGTTTTGCAGAGGATGTAGTACGGGAGGTAGAGTTCGAGGATGAGATTGTTGATGGAGACGAAGAAGCGGGCGGTGATGCAGGAGTAGTGGTAGGGGTAGAAGAGGCAGATGCAGAGGGCGTCGATGCTTTAGATGCGGAGGATTGCGACTGGCGATATGTGGATGAGCTGGTAACGGAGCGGAATTGGCTGAAGGATAGCTGAGCTCTGGAGACGGGGAGGGCTGCTTTCCGCGACGCAGTCCAACTGATTGTGCGAAGCGCACTGGATGCCATTGTGAAGGGTGATCTGGCTGAGCAAATGCCAGTCAGTCAGGTTTTGTAGTCGGTGGCTGCGTTGTGTTGAAGCTGCGATGTTTGTGATTATTGCTTCGGATTGTTTCTTTTTTGGGGCTGGAGGTCAATCCCGTGACATGGATAAATATTGAGATGAGATTTCTATGGGAGGATATTTATACCAATTGAAGCCGGGAAAACAGAATATAAATAGTGATATACATAGACAAATAGTACATAGAGCGGGGAGTATCTCTTATTCGCTTGCAGCAATTCCCTGTTAAAAGTCCTTTGACTCCGTCCGCTTCTCGTTGCCGTGCCGTTTCCAGCATTCACGGAATGCTTCCATCTGTAGGGTTCAAACAGGCCCAAATCAGCATCTATATCCTGATACCATATGCGTAGATTATGAGTCGCGGTGGATCGTAGAAGAGGATAAGCTGGGGCCTATAGAGGAGCAGTCTATCCCGCGGGTTGGAAGGCTCAACGTACTTCTTTTTTGCATGCTCGCCAGTCTCTCTTGTCATAGTAGCAATCGTTCATCTTTAGCTGCTCCGCTGTCATCCCCAATGGCCTCTCGTTAGAATCTTCTTTCCAGTCCCGATATTAGAGGGACCGCGTCCTACCTGCACATCCGGTGCTGAAAATCCGCTTGTCCCTGCATAGATATTTGCATTGTCAGCCAGCCCACCAGCTATTTAAGTCGGTGACTACGCTCCCTTGGCTTCAAGGCGACGGAGAAAGGAGGCCTCATACCATTCATCAGGCCCATCGTCCTCCACAGTCTGCGCGACCGGCGGCTTCTTCTCTGTTTTGGACATCGTGGTGCAGTTCTTTTCCTGTGGTTGGAGCAAAGCAAATAACCAAGTTACTGGGAAAATCTTGGACCAACTTCAGACGAATATATTAAATAGTCAACACTGCCTGCCCCGCAGAGGAACCAGCTATCCTACTACAAAATGACCACCAACCCCGTCCTCCTCTCTAAAAGGTTGAACGTGCTGGTCTATTCTGGTGCGCAAACTTACTCCGATTGGAAAACCAATATTCTGACCCCCGCTGCTCCAGGAAATGGAACTACCGTCGACGCCGTCCGCCACTGCCTCTACTCTCTCCGCCGGCTCTTGGCTGCGAACTACGCTGTGATCCCCGTAACGGGGCAAATGATCGTCAATGAGCCTTGGACTGCTTCCTGTGCGCTGCTAGTAATGCCTGGCGGCGCGGACTTACCATACTGCAGGACACTGAACGGCGAAGGGAATCGGAGGATCAGTCAATTCGTTCAGCGGGGCGGGGCGTACCTGGGTTTTTGCGCGGGCGGTTACTTTGCCAGCAAACGGTGTGAGTTCGAGGTTGGGAACAAGAAGCTGGAAGTTGTTGGTGACAGGGAGCTGGCTTTCTTTCCCGGAATATGTCGAGGATGTGCCTTTCCCGGGTTTGTATACGATAGTGAAGATGGTGCTCGAGCGGCGGAGCTCAAGGTATCAAAATCTGCGCAAGCGTTTGGGTCCGTGCCGGAGGTTTTCAAGGCTTATTATAATGGCGGAGGTGTCTTTGTTGATGCGCCTAAATATGCGGACCAAGGGGTGGAAGTTCTCGCTAGTTACACAGAAGATCTCAGTGTGGACTCTGGAGAGGGCTCGGCTACGGTCGTTTACTGTAAGGTGGGCGAGGGAGCAGCAATTCTCACTGGGGCTCATCCAGAGTTTGTATTTCCTGCAAAGCCGATTGATAGCTGGGAACTGACGAAGCCCAGATTTGCTGCCTCCAATCTTGACAGAAACGCTGATGGGCCCGAATATCACAAAATCGTCGATGTTTTGGCTGCAGACGATGAATCGAGGGTGAGTTTCTTGAAGGCTTGTTTGACGAAACTGGGCCTTCAGGTTAATCAAGACTCGTCCACTGTGCCATCGCTATCCCGATTACATCTTTCCTCTCTGGTTCCTCAGGGGAGCGCTGAGTTAATCTCCGCCCTTCGAGATATCATTACCGTGACTGATGGAGAGGAATATATTAAAGACGATATTGATACTTTCCATCTCGAGAAACCATCGTCGATGGGAATGAGAGATATAGCTGAATCCCTACCTGCTGGCATTTCGAAAACTGGCCAAGGGGGTGATTCTGACACATTCTTGGATTATAATTCTGTTATCAAAGAAGTGGTTGTTCATGATGAAACTCCGTCCTCCAAAGCTACCCCTTCCTTCAACCACCACGCATTCTACGGAAATCTCAAGGAATACCGCTCGCAGTCGAAAGAGGAAATTCATGAATTCGGCTCGAATATATTGTATGGAGAGGTCGTCACGAGCACAAGTAGTCTCCTTGAGAAGTATGAAATTCCATCACACTGCTTACTGTCATGTCCTGTCACTTACACGAATTATAGGAATACGCAACTACTCCGAAGGCTCCCACATGGATTCGTGGCTACTGCGACGGTCCAAGTGGCCGGACGAGGCCGCGGGTCCAACGTCTGGGTCTCGCCATCTGGTCAGCTAATGTTCTCAATCGTCATAAAGCACGCCGTCAGCAACATGACCCGTGCTCCCGTGGTGTTTATACAGTATATCGCCGCCATCGCCATTGCCCAAGGCATCAAGAGCTACGACAAGGGATATGAAAACATGCCCATAAAACTGAAGTGGCCAAATGATATATGTAAACCACTAAACCCCCCCCTCCCCATACTTCCGCTTTAATAATAAATAATAAATAATAATATCCAACTAATCCAATACCCTTACTCAAATGATACCTCTAGACGCCCTGGATCCTACCAAACCCGATTCCAAATCCTACACAAAAATAACAGGCATTCTCGTAAACGCCCACTACTCCTCTGCAGAATATATCGCCGTCGTCGGCATCGGGATCAACGCCCTAAATCCCTCCCCAACCACCTCTCTTAACGCCCTCTTATCCTCCCTTGCCCAGAAATCACCCTCCAATAGAAGTCTCCCCCCGCTAACCCTCGAGAAGCTCCTCGCCCGCATCCTCACCGCCTTCGAGTCCTTATACGCCCGCTTCCTACGCACAGGCTTTGACGAGCATTTCTTCGACCTTTACTATGCAGACTGGCTGCATATGGATCAAATCGTCACGCTGGAGGCGGAGGGTGGGGTGCGCGCGCGCATCAAGGGGATCACCAGTGACTATGGCTTGCTTGTGGCGGAGGAGTTGGGGTGGGAGGACCGTCCTACGGGGAAGACGTGGGAGCTTCAGAGTGACAGTAACAGTTTTGATTTCTTCAAGGGTCTGATTAAGAGGAAGGTGTGAGCTTTTTGGGGGCTGAGGAATGGAATTGGATATTGGGGGAATGGCTTCAAGTGTCCATGCTGTGGATGGGCTTTGGGGCAATTCTGGTAATGAGCTGGGGACATGGCCACTTACGCAGTTTCGTGATTCTTTTAGGTAGATATCCTTGATGTTAGCCCGCTCGTGGGAGGGAGAGTTCAATGATGCAGACGCAGAGGTATAGGCATCAGGCTATGTTATATATATATATATATATATATATATATATACTTTTATCCATCTTGACGAAATACCTTCCTTCCTTAGAATTTATTACTAGTTACCTGTCCACCTAACCAACACAAACAAAAATGAAAATCGAAATCCTCAAGTCATTTTGCATCATTTGTAAAAATTTTATATACCGTTGCATAGACTGATCAAGGTTAGTCAGAGGAAATTGCCTATGTAGGAGCAGCTCGTTATAGGATTGAGAATGGTGGATGATGGTAGACCATTTCGTATTTTATCGGATAAAAAACCGGCTTTCTAGGACCTGTGTTGACTCCCTTTTTTTCTGTATGGCTGTATTTGGTGCAGTTTTGGTCGGTCCGCTTTCTTTTCTTTCCGTTGGCAAGTAACATCCTCGAGATAAGCAAGTACAGTACGTCCCAATAAACAAAACCAAGAAGCAAAACAAGGTTTCTGATAGACGATTTTTGCAGGTTCACTGGGGCGCATCAAAATATCAAAATAGCTCGTTGGGGTTTCTTTCTTTCTTTCTTTCTCTTTCTTCTTTTGTTAAAATATCAAAAATCCAAACTTTTTAAAACAGCTATTTATTCAACAGTAAACTCAAAAGTCCTGTCGCCCTCTCCAATTTTGATCTGCTCTGCGTGGTCATTATACAGAGTTCGCTCAAAATACTTCACGCGCCCAGATTCATGCACAAGCACGACCGTCTGCGTCTGCGTTCCATACAGACCCTTCATATACTCATGATGGTCCGCCGGCCCATTAGCCACCACATCGACCTTCCCCTCCAGCTTCGATGCACACACTTCGTCGACAGTATGCTCAATCTCCGCATCATCTCCGATAACAGGGATAAAGATACTCTCGCGCAGCAGGTTGATATACGTCTCCAGATTGCCCCCCTCGCTCAATCTCGGTAGCGTATCCCTGCTAAGCAGTTCCAGCAACCGCTGCACAAGTGCGTCTTCACATTCACCCAGCTTCACAGAGGCATCAATCGCTTCTTTCAGGAGCCTCTCCCCATCCACAATCTTCCGCCACGACCGGTCTCCAAATACCGTATTGCTCAGACCGACCGTCTGGCCCTTTTCATTGGCAATCCACTCAATGCCGTCCGCCGCTGAGACGCGGTTGGAAACAACAGCCAAGGGCCCGCGCACGTTGCCACAGACAAGGCTGAAGCCGCCGGCCAGTTGCGCGTCGCCCCCGGCGATAAGGTCCTCAGCATACTCCTTAGCGGTGACTGTGCTGTCTGGGGGCAGCTCGAGGAATGAATTCACGATGGAGCCTCTGCTGCGCACGCCCACGACGGGCTTGTCGGTGTCCTCGCGGTAGTTTGTTAGCACGGCGATGCGGCCTTGCTTTGTGACGCCCAGCCAGGTGCCATGGACTTCCCGGGCTAAGTCCCGAGAACCTAGGACATGGGACTTGTCGCCCGGCCACCAGTGTGCGGGGGCTGTGGGGCGGTGAAGGAATTCCTATTTGTTGTTAGTACTGTATATGGATTTGATATGCTCATTTGAG